AAGTGTTACTCTTGGGAAAGTCACCCAGCCTAGCACGGGGCCTGACTGATGTTATTAAAAGGGCTGCTCGCATCATGTCTCTCCATTACCTGCAGAATCCAGTCCCCCAGGCTCCGCTGGGCATTTAAGGTTCTCTTCAGTCCTCTTTCCCAGTTTCTTCCCTTCCTGAGACTCAGCTCCTGCTTCTGCCGGGCTTGAGCTGTTTCCCACATCTCCGCTCTGCAGACTGCCTTGCCCTGCCTGCATCACTCACTCCACCCACCACACACACCGGGATGTCTGTGCCAGGGGCTGGGCTAGGTGCTGGGGACACAACAGCCAGATGGGAGGATTCCTGTGGTCACCTTAGGAGGAAGGTCACTTCCCACTTCACTCCTGGAGGATTTGCTGGTCACTGCTGCCTGTCCCTGTCCCAAATCCCAGCGGTCTGCACGTGCCATTCCAGTGGCATTCGGCCATGGCTCCACCTTATGCGTCAGGTCTGTTTTAAGACTTCCTCTGTAATGTGTTTATTTCTCTGGGAAAAGTGCACTCTGGATTCCAAATAGTATTATAAATGGCATCAGATCCCCAGGCCAGCCCACAAAAGCCTATTAAATACATAATGGTCCCAGAGACGTGCGGCCCTAAGTGAGCACACCTTAAAAGCTCTGTAAGAGAGACCAGGAGGCCTTCTGGGGCCCCATTCAGCCTCCCCTGGGGTCTAAGATCAGAACTACCATCAGGGACAGAGGCAGGGAAGAAGGCAGAGGTGGAGAATACGCAAGAGGAGTGGAAGAACTCAATTTGTAATTTAGGTCTGGCTTAATCCCTGCTCTGTCTTTATTAAGAAGGTGGCTGAGTCTCCTGCCACTAGGAGCATTATAAAATAAGATAGTTAAGGAGGTTGTATATGGAGCCCAACGGTAGAGTCCTTGCCTCCACAGAACAATACCCTAGATTCCATCTCCAGCACTGCAGGATAAAATAAGGAGGCTAAAGCAGATTGGTTCTCAGACCATTAAATCACAACAGCCCATATTTTAAATGTTATATATGTAAAAATAATACATGTGTTTTAAAATAATTTTTATCAAGAAAGAACCTTTTAGGCTGGGAGATAGCTCAGTGGCTTGAGCACCTACCTGGCAAGTGCAAGGTCCTGAGTTTGATCCCTCATACCAAAACAAAATAAAGAACTTTTTTTTTTTTTTTTTTTTTTTTTTTTTTTAGGGAAGGGTCTACGAGGTGTTCAGGGTCTCACTACTAGATCAGACTCCTAGTGATTTGCCTGTTTACAGCCTCCCAAGAGCTGGGATTATAGGCGTGTGTCACCATGCCCAGTGTCAATTGCTGTCTCAGGGCACCCCGGGGGAGGGGCCAGCACAGCAGGCCTGGGAATCAAACCTGGTGCCTGCTTTCAGGTGCTTTAATCCACTGAGCTATTTGGCTGGCTTTAAGAACTTTTTAAAAGAAAATCACAATATACTATTATCAACAGTTTCATATTTGGAGAAAAACACTGCAAACACTCCACCCAAAATATGGACATCAAGTTAGGAAAATGGACAAGTATTTTAACTGAAAATATTTGGATTCTTGGGGGGAAAAATTCACCATTGTTATTTTTCCAGTTTGTCTGCAGACCAGTACAAGGTTGGCCATGGCCTGGCTCTAGTCCTTGGCCTGACAGTTGAGAACCAGTGAACTGGGAAATGTGTAGTGCATTCTCTGACTGACATTCTCCATCCTGTGGACTGGACAGGACTGGACAACTATCAGCATACATGGGCCCTGGTGTGGGGAGGAGCAGGGCTGTGGCCCAAGAGCTGGCAGTCGGTGCAAGGCCAAAGCAGGACTCCAGGCCTGCCTGATCATAGCCCCGTAACCCCGGAGACAGGGATGCCAACTTAGAAGACGTAGGGCCTAACTTGGTCCAGGTATTGACTGCCAATTTCCACCCTGGTATTCTTCTGGAAGACTTAGGGAAGGCCCTCAAGGAGACATCATAAAAAATATCTGGTGTTTGTGGTGATAAACTAATACGAACTCATTGGACAGTCTGAGTAAGCATAAGCAAAAAGTAAGCAAAAGTCATCTACCTTTCCACCTTCCAGAACACTACTTACTAGCTGATGTACCACTAATTCTTCAAATACAGAACTTCACCCTGACATTGAGTTTTATATCCTGCTTTCCCAGTAATCACACTTGCACATCTTTAGATGCTCTTCATCACCATCATATTTTAACAATAAACATTATACTCTACTAAATATATTCTTTAAAAAACTGGCAATGAACTGAATATTTGGGTCTACCAAGACTTCCTATGTTGAAATGCTGACCCCAGCTGCGACAGTATCAGATGGGGCCTCTGGGGGTCAACAGGCCACAGGGAGAGACCTCATAAATGGGATCCGTATTCTTAAAAAGTGCCCAAGACAGCTCTCTAGTCCTCTTTCTGTCTCATAAAGAAGTCAGCAGTCTACAGCCAGGAAGAGGGCCATCCTCAGGACAAAACCATGCTAGCACTCTGACCTCAGGCTCCAGAACTGTGGGCAATAAATTTCTGTTCCTTATGAGTCATGCAGCCTATGGCATATTTGTTATATAACATCACTTCCCATGGTATGAAGAGTGCCAGAAGTTATTTAACCATGCTGCTACTGTTGAACATCATAACTATTCTCATATTTTTTGCTATTTATAAAAAAATGGGGTGGGTGTACATCTCTGTACACAAATTACTGCAGATACCTTTATATAGTGAATGCCCTTGTCCAAGGAAGAGATGCTTGAAGCCACAGATGGTAACAAGCCTTAGATAGACCAGTTTTTCCAATACATACATAGCTATAAGAAAGTTTAACTTATAATTTAGGCATAATAAGGATTAATTCTAAAATGGAACCATTATAACTATATTGTAGCAAAACTTAGGTGGATGTGGTCTCTCATTTGAAATATCTTATTGTATTGTACTTAGCCCTCTTGTTGACTTCAGGTAATTAAAACTACAGAAAGTGAAGCTGACCACCACACTTCTTCGCTACTGTTCTGTACTGCACTGTACTGTACCTCGGGTCATAGCCCAGTGCTGTGCCAACAGCCCTCAGTAAATATTGAACAATCTGACTTCAGTGACCCAGGAAACCCTTAGCAGACCCTCCCCTCCACCTCATACCTGCTAAACTTAGAGAAAGGAAAAGATAGATGTAAACTCCAGGTCTTGCCCTCTTAGCTTAGCAAACCTCCCGACTTTTCGACACTGCTGAGAGGAACTGCAGACTGCACTACCAAGCTAGCCACTCCCTCCCACTAGCTCAGCCCACTGAGGAAGGCCTCAGCTGATCCTCCCTCCCTCTAAATTACCATGTGCATCCCACCTGGTAAAGGCTGCCAGCAGTTAGGATATTAGCACTTTGTACTTCTGTTATTATTTGTTTGCAGGACTGATAACCTGCCCAGCCCAGGACAACACCAGAGGCCAAGCACAATGCTTATTTTTGTTCCCCATCCAGAATCCAACCCTGTATCAAACAATGTGGTTGTTAAATAAATGTTTCCTGCATGAAGCATCAGATTCTTGAGGCTTTATTTTCAGAGTGGAGAAAAAGGGGAAGAAGGAAGAAAAGCAGAGCCTCCTGAAACAGCCCAAGTGTGAAGAGCTGATGGGTCCCAGGGGAGATGGCCCTTGTCCCCTGCTCTGTCCTGACCAGCCTGGAGACCAGCCAGACCTAGTGGCTCCAGGAACTGATGGCAAACAGCTCCAGCACAATCAGATACAGGTACACTTAAGTGCAGATAGTCGAGCTTGATCTACCCTGACAGTTCGGGAGACAGAAAGCCGTTAGAGGAACTGGGAGCCTCTTTCCCCACCAGCTTCTGCACAACCAGAAGATAAGTGGCCACTCCTCACTCTGATCCCAAAACGTCCAGGAATAAGAAGATGGAAGAGCTTAAAGCCACTCAATCTACACTCTTTTTTTCCTCCTCTCATTTGCCCACTACCTTGCCACACCCAAAAGGTGGGGACCTGAAAAATCTAGGTTAGTGAGGGTGCCAGGTGTGGGGAGTTCCCTGCAACTTCAGGATAAAAGGTGTCAGGACGGTCTTAATATCAGAGGGACCAGAAGTTATGTGCAAGATGTGGAAGAAGGTGGAGGAGACACTCCCAAGGGACACCAGAGATAGAAGCCCCACCCATTCCCACCCCTCCCAGAGATGCCTGGGAGAACCCCGGAGGAACCTAAAGTGTCATAACTGACCCTCGGACAGCCCACCCCCTCCAAGATCCTGACCCCACCCCTCCTCCATTCCAGTCTGACTTTGCAGTTTGTAGAGATTTCTCTCACCCGACCCTCTGAACAACCTTGGCAGGGGTTATCTTCACTGTCTCCATCCCCTGAGTTAGGGAAGTCAGGGACATTAAATGATCCGCCGCGCCACATAAGGAGAAAGTGGCCGGGGCTCCAGTCAATGTCAGAAGTGAGCCCAGGCACAACTCTAGGTGGCTACTCCACCCTGCCCGCAAGCCTAGCTGAGCTGAGCCTGTGGGCGGAGGCCCAGGTGCCAAGCCAGTTTCCAGTCGCCTGGAGTCGAAACCAAGGTCCAGTGTGCTCCTAAAACGAGGTTCCCGCCTGCACAACGAAGAAGCAACCCCACTGCTCCCACACTCACACAGGTGCAGGGCCGGGAGTCTGGGGCAGGGGGCACTCCCCAGCCTGGGGGTGTCCTGCCCTGGCAGGTGGCACCCTGTGACCGAAGCCTCAAACGGTCCCCCCGCAAAGTTGTGTCATTTGCGAACACCCTGCGAAGCATCGCCCGGTGTCCCGGAGCTGCTCCTTCCCCAGCTCCCGACCGGGAGAACGCCGCAACCGCCCGGTCGTTCCCACGCTGGCCCAACGCGCACGCCCCCCTCCGGGTGCCCGAGGGCCGGGAGCCGAGGGCGCGGACCTGCACGCGGGGCGACATGCCGCCCTGCCCGGACCCCCCACGACCCCCACTCTACAGCTCACCCAGATCGTCAGCAGCAGCACCCACGCCGGCCCGGCCCGTGCCATCCCGGTGACGGTGCCCGCCGCCGGCTCAGCGCTCCACTCGCGCGGCGCGCCCGCCCGCTAGCTCCGCGGTGGCCAACAGCCACAGCCACTTCCCAGCCGCTCCCCGCCTCCCAGTTCCCTGTGCCACGTCTGCCAAAGCATGCGCGTCAGGCGGGAGCTCCGGAGCGGTGCTTCATGGGAGTTGTAGTTCCCAGCCATGGACGCGGCACTCGCCTGGGTGAAGTTGAGCACGAAAGGCAGGGTCAGTGAGTAGAAGGCATTGAGGGGCTTACTCTGTCCTATTTGCCTACTCTGGATGAGAAGGCAGCCCCAAAATGTAAGTACACTACTTTGACTCACTCAGCCTGCGGATGGCAGAGTTCCGCACTGCTTGTGAAAGACTGAAAAAAAATGCCTTGAACCCTGGCTCCAGCGCTCCCACCTGCCTCTTCTTTTGTCTTTCAGCAAAATTTTATTGAGCTGTTGGAGAAGTTTGGCAATTCCTCAAAAAGTTAAACATAGATTACATATGGACTCCAAAAAATTGAAAACGCATTCAAACAAATTCATCTATCTATACCAGTGTTTGTAGCAGCAGTTCACAATAACCTAAGGTAGAAACAACCCAGATGTCGCCAAAGATTGAAAAGATACAGAAAATGTGATGTATCTATAGAATGGAATACTACTCAGCCACTAAAAGTGATGAAGTACTGACACCTGGTACCTTGAGGACAAATCTCAAAAATAGGATGATAATAAGAAAGAAAGAAAGAAAGAAAGAAAGAAAGAAAGAAAGAAAGAAAGACCCTAGATACAGTGGGGTGTGGTGGCACAGGTGTGTAATCCCAGCTACTTAGGAGACAGAGGCAGGAGGATTGAAAGTTTGAGGCCAGACTGGATAACTTAACTACACTCTCAAAGTGAAAAAAAAAAGAAAAAAGAAAGAAAAGAAGTGTATGGGCTATAACTCAGTGCTGCCTGGGCTCAATCTCCAGTACTGAAGGAAGAAGAAAAAGGAGAAGGAATAGGAAAAGGAGGAAGAAGAGGAGGAGTTAGATATAAAGGTCTCATATTGTATGACTACATTTATATGAATTATCCAGAACGGGCAAGTAATAGAGACAGAAATGTCAGTGGTTGTCTGGGCTGGGGGAAGAGGGAGTGGGAAGAGGCTGTTTAGTGAGCACAGGGGCTCCTTTTGGAGGTGATGAGATTACTTTGGAGCTAGAGTGAGGTGGTGGTTGCCCAACACTGTCAATGTACGAAATGCCACTGAACTGGACACTTTAAAATTGTTCTTTGATATTACATGGATGTTACTTCAATACAAAAAGTGAAAGGAAAATCCCTTTACTGAGCCCACTGCATGTGCTAAAGCAGTCGTACCACATAGTTGGGTAGGTTTGAGATACACAGTTGTGACATGGCTAAGGGGAGTGCACAGCAGGAGCTGGCAAGTTAGGGTAGAGAGACCCTTGCCCACTTTCCAGAGGGTCAAATCCAAGCCCAGGGATCATGCTTGACCTGCCCCTTTTCTCAACAGACCTATCATGTTGCTCATCATATCTTTCCCATCAGTTCTGCCTCCAAAACATCTCTTCTGTCACCTCTAGGGTTGAAGTCACTGACATCGCTCATCTAAGTAAGGATAAACAGTGGACCTGTGTCTTAGTTACTTTCTGAGGTCCATGCCTGACACCCTCGACCTAAGAAGGAAAGATTCATTTTGGCTCACAATTTGTAGAGGTTCCAGTGCACAGTTGGCTGACTCCAAAGCAGAGGGCATGATAGAAAGGCTTGGAAAGAGGAAAGCTGCTCCCTCCATTGCATCCAGGAAGCAGAGAGTCAGGGGAGGTGCAGGGAAGGGTGATGCACCCTTCAGGTCACACTCTCTGTGACCAGCCTCTTCTAACCTCCTAACAACAAGTCAGCTATACACCCCCTTAAGCCAATCACCTTCCAAAGACTCTGTCTATGATCCATGAGGCTTTAGAGGACATGTAGATATAAATCATAGCAACTTGCTTTTTTCTCAGTAATATATGTGAATGCTGTTTGTCATTGCCCGATGCCCTCCAATGGCTTGGTTCTGTTGCCCTTAGATCAAACCCAAATTCCTTCTGTGACCTGCAACCCTGCATGGTCTATGCCCCTTCTCTGCAGGCCTCATCTACACACACACACACTCAGCCCTTTCAGCTCCAGTTCTGCACCTTAGCATTTCCTGCCCCTCCCCTCCCTAGGATACTCCCACTCAGGGATTTATGTTCTTCCTGTTCTGAGGGGACCTCAACATTTTCTTTGCCTTTGCCTCACTGGTGTCTTCTAATCTTTGGAAGATTCCACCCTGCTCCCCCACTTAGACAGGCCACTCAGAGCAATGCCATTAAGAGGCAATTTCACTCTCCTCAGACTCTCCCCTTGTTCCCTAGCTCAGGCGTGGTTGATGCCTGCACCAGCCCTTTCCATAGGCAGCAGTTAAAGTCCTCTGTACCCATGGGTTCCGTGTGTGGAGTCAACAAGCTGTAGATAGATTTTTTTTTTCCAGAACTGGGGATTGAACTCAGGCCCTTGTGCTTGCCAGGGAAGCGCTTATTTCACTGAGCCATTTCCCCAGCCCCTAGAAAATATTTTAAAACAATTTTTTTTTCCTTTTGGTGGAACCAGGGATTGAACTCAGGCCCTTGCGCTTGCCAGGGAAGCACTTATTCTACTGAGCCATCTCCCCAGCCCAACAATTGTATTTTTGCTGAACACATCCAAACATTTTTTTTCATGTCATTATTCCCTAAACAATAAAACACCTATGAATATTTGTCTTAGTTACTTTTCTCTCATTGCTGAAACAAAAAAAATCTGACACCCAGAGTTAAAGGAGGAAAAGGTTGCCTGCAAGCTGCAGAGATAGCTCAGCAGTCTAAGCACTCACCTGGAAAAGGCAAGCACCTGGGTTTGGTCCCTGATACCTGGGCACATAGTGCCAGCCACCAAAACCAGGAGTGATGGCACATGCCTGTAATCCCAGCACTGGGGAGGCTGAGACAGGAGGATTAGTGGGTCTGAGCTGTGTAGTGAGACCCTTTACCAAATAAATAAATAAATAAATGATTTTTAAAAAAATAAAGGTTCTCGATGTAGGCATAGATGATCTTCTGGGTTTCCACATGACCCATTGTGATTTTACCCTTTTTGTTACTAACTGGATGAAAGACGTTTTCTTTCTAAAGTCTTTTCTTTTTTCCTTTCTTTTTGATAAGTTTGTCTAAGGGTTTATCAAATTTATTCTTTCAAAGAACAAATTCTTTGATTCATTGATTATTTGTACTGTTTTGTTAGTCTTAATTGCATTGACTTCTGCTTTGATATATAGATAGATAGATAGATAGATAGATAGATAGATAGATCTATATCTATCTATCTATCTATCTATCTATCTATATAATTTCCTTTCTCGTCTGAGCTTTGGGCTTGACTTGTTCTTCTTTTCTTAAAAGTTTGATGTTCATCACTAGGTTATTTATTTGAGGTTGTTCTGTTTTCCTGATGTGAGAATGCACTGCTATAAATTTCCCTCCTAGGACTACTTTTACTGTGTCTCATGAGTTCTGGTATATTGTATCAGTATGCTATTTAATTGTAGATACTGTTTAATTTCTTCTCTAATGTCATCTGTGACTCATTGGTTGTTCAGTAGGGTTTTTTTTTTAATTTTCATGTGTTTATGGTGTTTTTGTTGTTCCTTTTGCAATTGATTTTCAATTTTATTGCACTATGGTCTGATAATATGCATGGGATAATTTCAGTTCCTTAGCATTTAGTTTGGCATGTTCTATGGGTTAGTATGTATTCTGGAGAATTTCCCATGCACAGCTGAAAAGAATGTGTATTTTGATGTTGTAGAGTGGAACACTGTGTGGACATCTACTGAGTCTATTTATTTATGTATGTATTTACTTATTTTCACACAGGGTCTTGCTATGCAGTTCAAGCTGGCCTTAAGCTCATTTTGTAGCCCAGGCTAGTCTTGAACTTGCAATGATCCTCCTGCTTCAGCCTCCTGAGTACTAGGATTGCAGGTGTGTGCCACTGTACCTGGTCTAAGTTTATTTATTCACAGGTTTGACTCAACTATAATATTTCTTTGCGATTTTTTTTTGGCCTGGTTGATATACCTATTTGTCACAATGGAATATAGTAGTCCCTCTCTATTTTGCAGTTCAACTTTCACAGACTCCCTGTGTCACAGGTTTTCAAAAAACATTAATCTAAATTATTTATTGTGGAATTTTTGCTATATCACGGGATTTTTCAGTACTGTCCAGTATAGTATGTTGTTGAAATTACATAGCTTTATGAGACTTTAGAAAATGGTTAAGAATATTGGACATGTTTTTGAAAGTGTGGGGAGGGTTTGTGAAGCCTATATATATATATATATATATATATTCTAAAATAATATACATATATATACTAAAGTAAATATAACATAGCTACTTAGCTGATTTTCACTTATAGGGGGTGTTGAATGTAACCTCTGAGATAAGAGAGAGACTACTGTATTAAGGTCTTCCATTACAATTGTGTCAGTGCTTATTTGATTTTTTAATGTTCATTAATATTTATTTTAAATAGTTGGGTGCATCTGAATTTGTACATATATATTTATGATTATCGCTTCATCTTGGAGTTTTCCCTGAACAAGTATGTAGTGACCTTTTTGTCTCTTTTAATCAGTCTTGGCTTGAAGTCTACTTTGTCTTTTTTTTTTTTTTTACCACTGTGGCTTACAGATTTTTTTTTCAACAAATAATACACTGCATATATTCTTCTTAGTGGTTTGAAGTCTACTTTGTCAGCAAATAGAATAGCTACATTTGTTTATTCCACAGTTCTGTCAAATGAAAAATTATTTCCCTTCCTTTCACTCTCAGTCCATGAATTTATTTTTGAGTTAAACGTATTGCTTTTTCTTTTTCTTTTTCTTTTTTTTTTCCCTGTGGTACCAGGGATTGAACTCAGGATCCTGTGCTTGCCAGGCAAGTGCTTATTCTACTGAGCTATCTTCCCGTCCCATAAATGTATTTCTTATATGCAGCATATTGTTGGATCTTGTTTCTTGATCCATTCTACCAGTCTGTTTCTCTTGATTGGTGGATTGAGACC